TCCCCCACATATTTGTGCTACCTGTCCCTTGGTAGTCATCAGGGGCATATGATTTCTCCACACTCCCAGATGGTTCTATATCTTTAGCCTTAGGATCTCAATGCTAATCATCAACGTACCTTCTCCCTAGCTGCTGTGTGGGGTACAGCCAGCAGTCGAGAATGCCCTTCATTCATTGCCTCATGGTTCCCATAGCATGTCCAGAGACATGCTATTTATTGCTTTGAAGTCAGTTAATGAATGGGGTTGAACTCAATGCAATTACAAAGAAAGAGAATGAACATTTATTAAGAGAAAGGGAACAGCAACATCAGTGTTTATAACAGTGCAACTCACAATAGCCAAGATATAGAAACAGCCAAGGGGCCTATCAATAGATGAATTGATTAAGAAAATGTGGTATACATACACAATGGAGTTTTACTCAGCCATAAAGAAAAATTAAATTATGAAATTGTGGCATTTACTGGTAAATGGGTGGAACTGAAGAGTATTATGCCAAGTGAAATAAGCCAGACTCAGAAAAATCAAAGTTTCAATGTACTCTTTTATATGTGGAAGCTAGAACAAAGTAAATAGGGAAGCGGGGATCAAATATCATGAAGACTGAGGGAAGGGTAGAAGGAGATTGAGGGGAGGGAGGAGGGATGGGAAAGGAAATACAGAATGAATTTGACAAAATTACCCTATGTGCATGTATAAACATATCATAGTGAATCTCACCTAATTAAAAGCATTTAGATGAACAGAAAGTAGACCAGTGTAGTAAAAGAAGGGGAATAGAGGGAGTGAGAAAGGGAAGGAAAAGAGGAGACACCAGGAACTAAACTGGAGTAAAATACCATGGAAGTATGATTGTCAAAATGAACCCAACCTGTGTACAAGTATAGTGCACCAATAAAAGCAAATGGGGAAGGGAGAAGAAAAGGGAAAGCAAATGAACAATTAATAAGTGCTATTTATGTACACACAGTGGGTACTGCGGGGCACCAGAGGATGCTCTTGCAAACACACTGCAGCTTGCTGGAAAAACATGGCATTTTGTAAATAAGATCTCATTTAATTCTCATAAAAGGCCTTGCAGTATCATATCCCCATTTTTCACATGAAAGAAATGAAACTCAAAGAGATTATAAAACTCTCACAATTGCCAGGCTATATCAAAATTGAAACCCAGGTATCTTGCTCTAACATACATCATCTTTCCATTTATATATACTTCTTTTCTAAGCTTCAAAATCACAGTATTTGGATAAATACAGCACTAGGCTTTAGAGATACTGCAGTGAAGGATACAGGCAAGTTGTGTCAGAACACCTAGATTGCGGTTTCCATTTGAGAAGGATAATTTATGATGTTGAATTACCCATTCTAGTTGTTTGTATGTTTTGGCCACCATACGAACAGTTCCCATGTCTCAGAATATGGATTAAATGCTTTCTCTTACAGTTGCGCTCCATTACACAATAGCCAAACATAAATAAAATGTGCTTATCATTGCAAGTCTCCAGTGGGGGCTTCCTCATACATTTGGCTGTCTGGCCTAAATATTCAAAATAGGCACATACATATTTCTAAACACACTCCTTCTACGTATGCTTCCTCCCCACTTCCTCTTATCAGTGGATCCATTAAGCCATCCACTGGCCCATCCCAGCCTTCTCAACCCTTACAAAACCATACTCCCCCAGGACACTGCAGCCATTCTCCTTCAGGACAGCTCCTCAGGTGTTCTTTATCCTCCCAAGTGGTCCACGTGGCAAGCACTCTGTAGAAAGTTCCATCAGAGGCTGGAATTGCCTGGGCAGGGCTGAGGTTCCTGGAATTTGAGATAAATAGACTTAATGGTCATCTGCCCTTCTTTTTTCTCCATCTGCATATCAGATGAAATGTCAGGAAGCAGGATCCCAAACCACAGTACTTTTATACTTCAGACAGAAATGTCTTGCACTAAGTCATTTTGCACCGTGGCTCTGGTATTCGTGGTCAGCAGGTATTGGGAATGGCTTTGGAGGAATGTGTACTCTGCTTCTCCTGTGATAGTTAATACCTCCTATATTGTGATCCATCTAAAAAACCCTTCTAGAACTCTTCATAGAAATAATTTTGTCTCCTTGAATGACAGCTTTGTTTTAGTTATCAGGAAAAGAAAACCTATGTTACCTATATGTATTCCTTTTGGCCATAACTACTTAGCAAGCTCAAGAGTTAAATTTAGTACTCCATTACATACATTGATCACCTCATTCTCAATGTCTAGGGAAAAGAAAAAAAACCTTCCCATTTCTCCTCTATGATTTTTGAGCTCCTCCTCTGTGGAAGTTTTGAGAAGGATCTATGATATCTTTCTACTCAAATACTAAGGTTTTCTGGAAATTTGTATGGATATTTGTTGGGGATTAAGTAAATTAAATTCAACTACATCATGTCCCCTCTCACTTATGGATTCTTACTAATTGAGAAGAACCAGTTATATTGTCAATATTATAATTCAGGGCACTAAGTTTTCTAATAAATACTGATAGGGGAATACCTCTTGATTACAAGGTGAAATTCTATCAGCACCCCCATCACACATTATCCATCCAGACCTGTTCTTCAGGACTCAACTGTGGATCAAGTGCATAGAGGATCATGGACTGATCAACTTCCAATTGATGACCAGAGAGAGGAAGCCAGAGGGAGGCAGCCTCCTCGCCTGGCTCTGGAAGAGAGCTCTAAGCTGTGGCCCACTTGGCTTCCCTAACAAAACAACAGCAGGAAAGAGAGCAAGCACACACTCATTCATGACTAGTGGTCCTGCCCCAGGACCATACCTTTTTATAATTAATTCCCCTAGATTGTGTACCTGTTTCTTATTCACACAATGGCTCATATGAGTGCCTGGGACCCAGCCTTTACCCCAATCTCATATAAGCCACTCCTGTGATTGAAAGGGGTAAGTGTGGGGTGTGGGGAACTGAGAGCACATAGTTAGTGATTTTTCCTCCTGGAGTATGGAACACATATCTTCTCCTCCCTGTGAGTATTTGAAGAGCCAAGTAATAAATATTGTTCAACTATAGTTGTATAAATTGACAGGGAAGGATAGGATCCTGGGAGAGAGAATGGCATTCAAAAGGAGAAAACTTTAAATTGTCACTAGTTTACATATAGCACAAATGTAAATTTAATGTCTACTATGTGCCAGGCACAGCGCTAGGCTTTAGAGATACTGCAGTGAAGGATACAGGCAAGGTTTGTCATTCTCTGTGTTCCCTTGGGAAAACCGTTTCCTCACCTGTGAGATGAAGTTCTCTATTCTCAGCATTGTTCAGGTTCTCTCCTAGTTCCAGCATTCTTACCATATGTTTAGGTCCCTGCACAACTTCATGAGGTATGTTCCTTTATAAAATTGGCCTGGGAAGAGGAATTCCCCAGAATTCTTCTCTGATCTTTTCTTCCAGTTTTTCGTCTGCCTGTGTGTTAGAATCAAAGCCATAGTTATTATGTAGTACCCAATTATTTGCCAAGAATAAGCCATCAGCAGGTAGTTGTACTGAAATTAGGGATCCCCTCTTTGGCATACTTGAAAGAGAGATTCAGAAGAGCAGGGGGACAGGATGCTGAGTAAGGAAGGGCAGGAACAGGTGCTGGCGAAGTGAGCAGGGGTGGGCTCAGGAAGTTACACACACAGTACAGGCATTTCTGCCATGAACTGAAGGCAACAGGAAGAATTTTTAACAGGGAATAACATGATTAGATTTATCCAAGAGAACAATCTCTCTGGCTCCATGGTAGAGAGGAACACTGTTAAAAACAGGGAGATTTGCTCAGGGATTCCAGCTCAGCAGTCAGGAAAGACATCACAGTGGCCTGAATTAGGGAAGTGAAGAACTCTGAAGATAGAGAATAGAGGATGGAGTCAGAAAAGGTAGGGGAAGTCAAACGTGCAAGACTTGGAAACATTTAAACATGGAAAGTAAGGGAGAAGGCAAGAAAGGAAATTCTCAGGTTTCCAATTGGAGTAACTGAATGGTGTCTGTTCCCTGCAATAGCCCAATTCTGGTTAGGGGCAGAGTCTAGAGAAAGAAATTAAATGCAGTCAGAGAGGAAGAAGGGCAGGAATCTAGGTAGACCATTCACTTTATTGTGCTGCAAACTACATATTCACATCTGGTTGAGCTCAAGACCATATATACTATATAACCTGAGTAAATAAGTGTAATGTGAATTAATTTTATAATGTGAAAATCTAATGTGAATGATAGGGTTGATGCCCACAAACTTCATGTTGGGCCGGATGAAACCACCAGCTCTTGTCCTCTAGGCATATTCCACAAGAAGACCTGGAAGAATGAAAGATGTGAAGGTGAGACTGTGAACAGTCTTAATGGCCCCCAAATCCAGCATCCTGTTCAGTCCTAAAATCTCTCAGAGATTGTCCTATTCCATATAAGCATCTGGTTCTGATTGACTTTAATGGGATTCCCTTACAAACCACAGATTCTAAATTATCCCTTAGTAGGTATAGCATTTATAGGAGATATATTACTTTATTCTGAATACCTCTTGGGCACTATTACACTGAATTCTGACAAGAGCAGAATTCAGAATATGATCATCCAGTATGAGAATGCCACTGTTCACATGCTGATTGCTTGTAAGTCACAGAAAATAGGTATTTGTAAGAAATTTTTTCAAACAAAAAAGATATATAATTTATGCTAAGAAATATCAAACATTATATTCCTATTGTTTTTATTTTATTTTGTTTCATTTTGGTTTAATCCAAAGGCAAGTCATTTTTGTGGGGAGGAAAGGATATATTTTTCCCCAGGTCTGGAGATTAAATGATTTAGTAGGCATCCCACGTTCAGCTAACAAAGGGGGGATTTGCATATGAACTTGTTTCTGCAAGAAAACACATTTAACATGTTCATAGTTCATGGGAATTCTCTGTATCAATGGCAGCTCCTTCTGGCCATCTCCTTCTTTTTTCTTCTTCTTCCTCCCTATAGGTCACTGGATTGAAACTATCTCAGGACCTCGATGATCTTGCCATCCTCTACCTGGCCACAGTTCAAGCCATTGCTGTAAGAAACTTTAATGTCTTTTTTAAGGAAATTTAGGATTATCAATGTACTCGGAGACACAAGCTTCCCAAGATACACCAGATGCTTTTGTGACAGAGTTTCTTAATTAAAGGAGAACTTGCCAAAAAGAGATGCCGGTATTTCTGGAAGGAAAAGTTGATAAAGGTCTTTGCTTGATTTGCTAATAAGCTTACATAGTGAAACTGAAAGGAGTTAAAGTCTTTGAGCATCATGCCCCTCCCTTCCTTTCCCACCTCTTTGTCTTATCTAAAGTTCATCTAATCCTCCTTTGCCTTATCTAAAGTTCATCTAATCCTCCCATTACCAAGCACTTTCTTAACACTTAGGTTTGACCAGGTGCTATGTGTATACAACAGAGAACAGAACTTTCCAACTACTGAAGGAATAAGCCTTCTTTGATGCCACTACATAGGAGTATGGATATACCTCTTAATTGTGTTTTCCTGAAGCCACTCCTTATTAATTTAATAGTTTAGCCACTCAGGTGAAGTCAATCACACTATTTTTTGCATGACCACTTGGTCAAAAAGAGATGGTTCTGCCACCTATTAAACTGCAGGAAGTAAACACTATGATGAAAAAGGAAAACCTACATTAGTAAAGACAATTATTTACTACTCTTTTTTTAAGTGATGATGATTATCATAATAATACATAATAGAATTTGGGGGAATTTATTATATACAAGGCTCTATGTCAAATACCACACACCCATTATCTGATTTAACCTGTAAAAGTAGATATTATAGTCCCCATTTCACAGATTAGAATCTAAAGCCTCAGTGTTGATCAGGGCAACATAGCCAGTGCATGGCAGAGCTGGAAGGGGAATGCATACAACTAGATACAGGAAGTAGTGAGGAACATTTATTTTCTAACTTGTTAACATTATTATATGAAAAGTCTTTTAGCAAAATGAGTCACTTACATTGAAGTGAATAATATTGGAAAATCAAAGCTGTGTAATGCTCAGTTCTGTGAGCATACTGCTAAGAGGTAGATGTGAAGGACAAGGTCAAACAGATTGGGCTCAGGGTCGTCACCTCTTAGTGGTAATGACTATGACCTCTTGGGAACTCCAACTCTGTACCAGGCACTGCAGTCTTACTCTGTGACTTTGGACTGTAACCCTATATGTCAATGGTATTGTCCTCATTTTACAGACAAGGAGCAGGCTATTTGCCAGGGTCACACAGCTCATGCATGGTAACTGGAATTTGAACCTCTCTCCATATCATTCCCAGGCTCCTGCTCTTTCTACTTTACCATGCTGTAGTTTTCTTTGATCTATTTGTAAAATCTACTTGGATAAAATAAACATTCTGGCATTCCCGAGAGTAGTTTTGACTTAACACATATTAGAAAACATCGTTAATTTGGCCCGGATTTTCTCACAGAGGTGGCTTTCCCAGTAAGAACATTGCAGCAGAAGTTCAAGAATTTGAAAGTGAAGTTAAACATAATGTAGGCTGGAGAGAAAAAATAAAGAGTGTGCCTTAGTGTATTTAAGTGACTGTTTTATTTTGCCCATTGTCTTAATGATTTTTGTATGTCATGAAAGAAAGGTATTTTAGGTTAGATTTCTCCATAAGGTTTTATTTATGGACTCAGTTGAATTGGGAGGTGTCTTTTGCAAAAGCATCTGAGTGTGCTGATCTTTTAGGCAAAACTGTGCATCTTAATGAAGCAGTCTGACAATAGATATTTTCCCATAATTTCCACCTTGAAAAAATTGTTTTTGTTTCCTTGGTCCTAAATATTGCCTTAGTACCTATTTGTCATTAATAAATTCAATTAATTCCTCTCTGTATTTAAACCCATGGTTGGTATTTTATAGGAATGGAATGAAATGAAAGAGAAAAATTAGCTCAAGACTGTGCAAAACCCTCCATGCAATAAAATTCTTGCTCATGCTTCATTGAAAGACCTGTCAACTACCCAGTTCATCCATAGCCTGTTCATCTGTAGTTTTCTTTTCAGAACAGGCCCTTAAAAAGTACTATTTGCATTTGAAGTCTCTTGATTTGCATTCGGTTCTGTACATTCTCAGTGGAGTAGCCTAATTTTAATTTAAATTTCTCAGTGAAAACATTTTTTCCAGAAAGGTGAGCACAAAATCATTGTGGCACAAAGCCCTTTGGTGGGGCATTCCAGGAGGTGGAGCAGTACACTGTGGAGTCTGGGAGTCTGGGATACCAGAAGGGAATGCCCTGTAAGGAACCACCAGACTGGGAAGTTCCAGTCAACCAGGCCACACAGGGGAACAAGGCTGTCACAGCCCCTCCAGGGAGTGCCTCTTGTTCAGGTTCTTCCTCTGCTTTGCCCAGGAAATATGATTTGTTTTACTCTTGACTTAGGCCTGTTAATCATGTGGCTCCACCTCCCTGGTTTTAGAAATATCAGTTTCGCACGGTATTCCCATGCAAATTGGGAAGTAGCTATACTTCTTCCCATATAGACATATTGTTCTTAGGGAAATTACATAACTCCTAAGCAGGGTAACAATGTGTGGTATGCGAATTTGTTTTACCATTAGCAATGGCATGAAAGGGCCTAGCGGAGTGCCTAGTATATGGCTAATCACCAGAAGAGTCCTCATCCATAAACACTTTCCCAGTGCTCCAGCCCAGCTTCCTAGAGCAGCAAGCTTGTAACTTATATATTACTGTTTTATCAAGTCTCAGACCACACTTTTTATTTCTTTTCACATTGTCATTTTTGATATTCCATAGAATTTTTAACTGAATGAATATGGTATTATTATTACTACTTAACAAACAAGAAATGAGTCTTAGAAAGATTAGATATGAGAAATAAGTGAAATTCCTGAAGAACAGCTCAGTTTTTTTTTTTTTAATACTAAATTCAAAACTGCTGCTCTTAGTTGTTAAGGACCCATGCCCCTAGAGCAGTCCAGTCTTACCTGGAATCTATGGGCATCAAATGATCCCTGGAGGACTTAAAGGCATCTGTTGACCCCCTGAAGTTATGTTTAGTACTACTTTGTGTGTGACTTTTTTTATCTGGGCAGGTCAGTAGGTTTTATCATGTTCTCAGTGGGGTTCATGACCCCCCAAAAAGCTTAAGAAAGAACATCTGGGGGTAATCAGCCATAGTCAGTAAGCAGGATCTGGCCTTATGCAGTACAACGTGTTTTAACTTTCTAAACACGCACCATCTGTGGATTATCTTTGGAGGCCCAGGTTTCACCTAATCCATATTTTTAACAGATTCCTGAGTACCTTCAGCAAACCCTGAAGACCTCTGGGCAGGAACTGCTGTGCCCTTTGCTCATGACAGCCCTGTCCCTCATGATTTACTTCAAATCAACTGAAGTTTCAAATCCAGTGACCCCAGATCACCCACTGACCTCTCTCCCCCTTAGAGGCACCCCTGCCCAGGGGAGTCAGCATTCAAGCAGCCTGGTCAAAGGAGGCAGCTGCACTTGCCCTACACCCACCCCTGGGGTCTGAGGTCAGGCTACAGGGTGCTGACTGCCCAAACCTGGGCCTTCTTCTGATCTTCTTACCCTTAAGCTAAACTCCCTCTTCTCTATGTATTGGGTACCAACTGCTCGGTGACACTCACACTCTTACCAAAAGCCATGATAGTGGCTTCTATCTTCTCTCCAGCCAGATTGGTCTTCTTGGTGGTCCCCCATCTGAAACCTTGCACTTGGGCCTTTGGATCCTCCATCTTCCTATCTCCCTGACCTGTTCCTCCCTCCTCTTCAGCAATTCACTCCCATGGTCACACCTAGGATTTACCATCTCCCTGGATTGCTCAGACTTGAAACATTTCAAGGACTCTCTAGCCAACAAAAAATCCTCTTTTACATTTCTCTCCTGAGTCACCCTCAAATATCACCATGTGGCTGCTTCCTTAGGGTCACATTCCAGTTCATCTTCTTGTTTTTAATCCTTATTCAAAATACCTTATGAATTTTGAACTAGTTTTTTTGAATTTTCAAATGAGTTATCATCCTCAACTATTTGAATAACCTAGCCAAAAATAAAGAATTGTACATTAAAATTCACTCCCATATTCCTAAGTTGTATAGTAGAAGTGTAGTCCTCCTCTCAAACTGTATTGGTTTTTGCCAAATTTAATAAACTGTACAAGACAGGAATAAAGGTAATTCACATCAGGAAGATAGTGGGACAGAAGGTCTGAGATATAAGAACTGAATTGAAAAGGCAGTGAAACCCTGAGGCAGCCGGAGTGTGTGTTTGCCACAGAAGACTGACTGGAAATGGATCCTGGTTCCAGAAGCCTCATTATTAGAAAACTATTACCTGGTTTCAGGTGATAACAAAGGTTTCAGCCTTTGTCAGTGTAAGGTTTACATTCTTGATGGAATTAGAGCCCTCTTTTCTTGGCCCTACTACTGGACTCCCTAGGCACATTTTTTTAGGAAAAAAAAAAAAAAACCAAACTCTTTAGTTCCCCTTTAGTTAAAGAGGACTGATCCGGGTGCCACCAGCTCTGTTCATTTTGGAGCAACGTTGAAATCACTCCATTCCAGTATGGCATAGAGGCCCAGGCCACAGTAGATTCTCATCAAATGTTTGAGTGAGCTGCATTAATATTAACTGTGCTAACAATGTCAACTGTTTTTGTTAGTGTCATGTAACTACTGATAAAAGTAAATGCTATAGTAATTGAGAGGGTTTTGGAGTCAGGCAGGCCCAGGTTGGAATTCCCCTCTGTGAGCAATTAACTGTGTCCCATAGGCAACACAGGCTCTCTGAGTCTGAGCTTTCTCAGACGGTGTGTACAAAGCTATTGGTGCAGTGTCAAGCATGGGGCAAACACTTAGCAAATGTTCCTTATCATTTACTTTTGCTACCATACTAATGGTTTCTTTTGCTTTTCCCTTTAAGTTTGGGACCCGCTTCATTATAGAGGCCATGGAGGCAGCAGGGCACTCCATCAGTACTCTTTTCTTGTGTGGGGGCCTGAGCAAGAATCCTCTTTTTGTGCAGATGCATGCAGACATTACTGGTAAGTCTGGGGATGAAGAGAGAAAGTCATTTTAGGCTTGGCAACCATTGGACATCACCAAGTGCTGGGCAGGTTGAGAACAGGAGGATATGGGTGATGGGTCAAGTTATTAAGATGACTCTGAAGATTTATGTTCATCATAAGGAAATTGACTATTGAATGAGATGAGAGAGGTCAGTAAGAGCTAGATTTTGATTCCAGCATTTACTCCACAATTTTGAGTACCTCTTGATTCGGGCATTGTAGGCAATATTGAAGATACAAATATGAAGAAAGACATAATTCTTGCTCTTACAGAGCTCAGGATCTATTGAGGAAGACAAAGAACAAATAGACTCATTAAACAAAATGTTGAAGAACTTCTGAGTGAGTAAATCATAGGATATTTTGAAAACCCAGTGGGAACTTTGCCCAGTTTTGAACCTGTGACAGTGCAGGCCAATGTGATCTAGAAGAAGTGATTAGAAAGATGCTGTGGGAACTGGGACCTGGCCACAAACTGGGAATTTGAACCCAAGGAGCCCACCGTCCTGAGATTCCTTCTCAGCTCATCAGAATCCAGAATCATAACACAGATGGAGGGAATCCAGAGTAATGGGCTGAGCCCTTTGTGATAAGGGAAGACAGTGGCAGAGCAATTTCTTAGTAAGTGCCCCTGGGACCCAGAGAAAGGGCCCTACTGACAGGAGATTTGCTGATGGCATAGAGGCAGGCCTGCACTCCCATTTCTCTGGACCCAGTACCTATACCTCTCTTGCTCATTCTCCCCTAGTGTCTCCTGAAGCATCCCTGGGAGGGCCAGGCACTAAATAAAACATGGAGAGTGGAGGGAAATAGGGGAGGGTTGTACCCAGCCTTACATCCAGCCTGATATCATCCCACTCTACCATGGCCTTCATTATGATCCTCTCTGGCCCCTGTTGCCTGGGCTCCTTTTCTCTGACAGCTGAGCAGGTCAAATCTCTGAGCTCACTCAAATCTCTCACCTCCTCATATCCTGTTTCTCCTCCAAGCCATGCAGATTCCTGCAGAAAAGAGCTTTATCTAATGTGATAGACACTGTTGATCCCTATACACTCTAAGAGGAAGCTCAACAGGCTAATTATCCCCATCTTTGAGATAAGTAGACTGAGGCACAAATTAGAAGACATTTGATAAAAATGTATAGTCTAAGAGTAGACCTATCAGGTTGGGAAGTGTAGAATTTACTTCCATTTAACAAGTTCCTACTATGTGCCAGTGTGAATCACCCTATAAACATTTGATCCTCCCATAACATGGAAATTAGAAAATAGACATTACTCACAAACCATTGAAGATGGTAAATTTGAATTAAGTTGACTTTTCCAAAGTCAAACAGCCAGTAAGGGATGGGTCAGGAGGAGTGTAATTTAGTTACGTCTGTACCCACCATCCCTCTGCTGCTGACCCAGGTTTCTTGACTTTTCCGGTGTAACCATTTGATGACGATCCCTTTACAAAGCTGTTCAAAACCTGTGGAAATGGACCATAGAGAGTGGTTGGAAGACTGAAGCACAAAGAGGAAAGACCAGAAAAGGGGCCCACATTACCTAATTTTCTAAAAATCAGCTGATTGGTTCAGTGAAGGTTCAGACTTAAAACTTGGTTTGTGATCTTCCAATTTCCAGCTTCAAATAGCCAAAAACACATCCACCTGGATGTAGGAAGGAAGATAGAAGTCAGGTTTGAGTTAACATATTGCTCAATAGAATGCGAAATCAGGGCCCTTGAAAGCAGGCAATCCAGAGTGACCAGGACACTGTCTCGACACTAGTTCCAGCCTTTGTGAAAACGGGTCACCTTCTAAGCCTGATACCCTGAGCTGACTCAGAAGCAAGGCCTGCAGCCATTTCACTGAAAGTTGGGCTTTGGAAACTGCTCTTCTCCAGACTGCAGAATGAAAAGGCTGTTAATCGTTGTTTGGATTCAGATTGAAACTGGACCCTTTGTCTCTAACTATGCACCAGTTACAGTTATAAACAAAGGGACCTTTTCTTTGGCCTGGAATTCCTCTGCTTTTGGAAGCCTGTGACTGACAAGTGATGGCAAAGTGCATCTGCCTTTAAATGCTTTGGGTTCTGCTAAACTCATTAATGCATCAGATAAAATAGTTCACATTCCAGGCAAGGCCCCCCTCTTCCTCTCCTTCACCCAGCACTCAAAAAAAGGAACACATTTGCATTTGCCCCTGTAAAAGGCCCTGAGAACACAGTGGCCATACACAGCAGCCTGTGGATAGGTAGTGCATTTGGTGCTTTTAAACATTGTGATTGCTCTAATTTTCCTACAAAGAAAGATTTAGAGAGGACATGGTACGTGATGCTCAGAAATACATGTGAAAAAACACAGTAGAATTTGTAAGATTCTTTGGAGATGGTACAGAGAGGTGGAAAGAACAACAAGCCAGGACTGTGATTCAGGACCAGTTATTTTACCTCTGTGAGCCTCAGTTCCCTCTTGTGGAAGACAGAAACGTTATCATCTCTCTCATGTAGATCATGCTGAGGGATAGATATGTCAGTGCTTGGGAGTTGGTTAACAATGAACCCTGTGCCTCATTCCCAGTAGAATCTATATCTATGACATCACTTCTCCCCTCCAGACAGCCCCACACCAAAAGGAAGAAGGGATGGTAGAGAAAAAGCAATTTAATTTTTTTTTAGCAAAATCTTTCCTGTGTTAGGAACAGCATGCTCTATGGGGCTTTGCCAGCTTGGGAAATGCCAACACTGGGAAGAATCTCTTAGTGCCCCGGCCACTTAGTTAACTGTGGTTTCAAGAAATACTTGGTATGTACTAAGTAATTGTAGGTTTTCCCCCAGTGACTTGGGACTAAATGTTCCTTCTTCTAAATTTTGTTTTTAGTACTGACAGTATACATGGGGGTTTTCCTCTTCCTGTCTTACTCATTATTTTAATCATTTGTTCATTCATTTATTCACTGCCATGCATTCTCTGAGCATACCAGCCTATCAAGTGCTGCGCTTCACCTGGAGATGCAAAAAGAGAATGATGCCCTACGGAGGGTTTTGTTATAAAACAGAAAAGGTGCTCATCATGGTCCTGTGACCAATGTGCAAAAGAGTAGAGTGGGAATCCAGAGGACAGAGTTGTCAGGTCATTCAGGTCCCGGCAGAGAACAGATGCACACTCAAGTCAGGTTAACTGGAGAAATGCTGAATAAGGGATCAATTTACAAAGGTGTGAGCCCAGGTTAGGGAGACCTGAACCATCAAGAAGTCCCCTGGGGCAGCCAGCAGTGTTTGTACCCCTAAGCTTACAGGGTTAGAGAGTTCCAGGGAGCTAGTGGTATCTAGAAACTGAGGGTCATATGAAGAAGTGGCCCAGCAGAAGTCTACTCAAGGATGTTGCCAGAGGACAAGGCCCATCTTTCAGGGCTCAAAGCAAGTGGGGAGATATGTGGAGGAAGTAGGGTTGGTCTGAGAGACAGTTGGAAGCAATGGGTTGTTTTACCCAGGGTAAACATCACAGATAGGGAAACTTCAAGAATTATCACAGCTAATGTTAATTTAGTGCTTTCTCCAAGTCAAGCAGTAGGTGCTTTACTTTCACCAGCTCTTTTAATTCTCACAGCAACTCTAAGCTGGAATTTGAATCCCATTTTGAAAAAACAAACAAACAAACAAACAAAAAAACACATACACACACACACACAAAGAGAAGTCAGGATCACACAACTAAGTTGGTGAAGAAGAAGCCAAAGTTCAAACCCTGGCAGTCTGGCTCTGGAGCACTTAGGGCTGCAACCTGAGAGCTAATAGAGGATTCATTAGATTCACTCTGGTCTCTGGTTTCCAAGGGGAGGGATTTGGGAGTAGTTTCTCCCTACCCAGACATAGGGAAATTTTGGCAGGGAAAAGAGGGACTGGGAGACAAATGGTGTTTGTTGGTGCAAGCTTCTAAAAACTCCCAGATCATGGAAAAAAGTCTGAGTAGCAGGCTCACATTACACCCCCATCATTCCTGGGATTCTGCAAAGGTCTACAGTGCCCTCTCCTAATTGGGCCATGATCACCCTTCATTGTGGCTGGTGCTCATCCTTTCCTTCTAGATGTCTGACAGCAACCTGCTCTGCCCTTCCCACTATTGCACTTTGCAGTCCAGGTGAAGTACAAGTAGAGTCTTTGCTCCCCATCCACCTAATTCTGACAGTGCCAGCCACTATTTCTGTAGAGTTTACCATGGGCCAGGAATTGTGCTGTGCCCCATGTGTATGCCCTGTTGTTTACCCTCAGAGTGCACCTGTGTGCTAAGTCTTATCCCCATTTCACATGGGGAAACCAAGACTGCAGAGTTTAAGGAGCTTGCAGAAGGACTCAGTGGAATCAGGAAACAAACCCAGGTCTGAGTTTTTCCCCAGAGCCCACTCACCTGAGCTTACAGCAGGGGGACTGGTATTTCCAGGTCTCCTGGGAATTCTGCTCCCTGGTCCCTTTATGTGGTGGCTGGGCAGCTGACCCAGCCCTGAAGAAAGGCAGTGAATTAGGAATGATGTGACAAGGAGGAGTGTATAGCAGAGAGGTCTTCCTTGATAAGAGACGGTCTTTAGAAAAATAGCTCTCACGTGCTGAGTAGAGGAAGATTTCACTCCAGAACTTACCTCTGTGGCATTTGCTGCCATCTCCCAATAAGCAAATATATATCTGGTAGGTACTGTTTTAATGCTTTATTTTTAAGTCCTATGATATGGGTAGAATCTGAAACCCACTTTGGAAGCTGAAGTAGAAAGAAGTTAGACAACTTGCTTAGGGTCACACAGTGAAGTCAGTAAAGAAGCTGACAATTTAGAATCCTGAATTATTTGTATTAGTCGTGAACCCCTGTGAACCCTCTGGGAGTTGGTATGTGGAGGATTCTTCCTGCCTGATGGTCCCTTACTCACCCTTCAAATGCCTGTGTAAGCCCCATGTCCACAATGATCACCACTACCCCAGAAATTCTTACTCTCGTAATTTAATCACTCTCCATGTAGGAGGTACTGTCTAAACACCAGGAATACAGCTGTAGACCAGACAAAGCCCCTGCCAGCAGAAAGCCCGAATTCTGGCATGAGGAACAAGACACTAGACAACATAATACAATATAAGCTGGAAAGTGAGGAGGAAAGAGGGAGGAGGTGAAGTGAGGGTACATTGTCATTTTGAATCCCATGCCCCAGGCTCAGTAGGAAGGTTATGTTTACATGAAGAAGGGGAGAAGGTGGTTACCAGGTGGGCATCTGGAAGGACCTAGAAGCATATTCAAGAAACAGCCAGGAGGCCAGAGTCATATGGCTGGGAGGAAAGGAGAAGATCAAAGTGACAAAGTAAACCTAGACCCTGGAGGGAAGGCTTTTTCAGACAATGTCAGTGCACTGAGAAAGGGGAGAAGCCACTGGAGAGCAGAATCCCACCCTCTCTTGCTACTTCCCTTCTCTTAGTACATCTCAGTCAGAGAACCAGCCCCCCGCATGACCTGCTTCTCTTTCTCATCCATCTCCCCTTTGAGATCTGAACAACAGACACTGTCTGATTCATCTCAGCTTCCCTGGGCCCAACAAAGCAGTAATATACATTTGTTGAGCTGAACTTGAACCAAATGTCAGGTAGCAGCTGGAATACCTGGGCTGTGAGGTCTCCAGAGCTGATACATATGGTGTGGGCTCTCCAGAGGCTCTGGGCTATTGTACCAGCAGGCACAGCCAGTGAAACCCCTTAGAACTGGGTAATTCTGGGGAACAGGGGCTGGGGGTCCTGGGAGGGCTGCTCCTGGGGTTGCTTGCTGGCTCTCCACACTGCCCCCACCCTGCTCCCTAACCAAGGTGTGGCCTTGTTCCGCACAGGCATGTCTGTGGTCCTGTCGCAAGAGGTGGAGTCTGTTCTTGTGGGAGCTGCTATTCTGGGTGCCTGTGCCTCCGGGGATTTCACTTCTGTGCAGGTATGTGAGGACCTGGGGGCGGGCCTTGATCCTTCCTCTGTCTGAGGCTGATCTTCCTCTTGACAGCAGCTCTCATCTTGCAAAACACACACAGGATATAATTAAGAAATGATAGGTTGCAGCCAGGGAAATCACAAATGCTTCCAGCTTCAGACATATTTATTGCAGTTTTCATTTGACTTGGCTTCTATTGGTGTTGGTTCTGTTTTTCTGTTGGTTCTGTTTTTCTGTTGGTTTTCTTTTTTCTCCTTTAAAATGGCTCTTAAATTATGTTTTTAAATTTCCCCCTTGATAATTTTTCTTTGCACAATGGAAACAGGTAAGACTCAAATGGTTTTTTGTGCATACTTCAAATTTTGTTTTTGTCTATTTCAATCTTGTCACTTTCCAAATAGATATAAGGCCTCTGTCAATAAGAAACACAGGGAAAAAAATGTTAGAAAAGAATTAAAAAAGGAAATAAGGAACAAAAATATAGGAAGAAAGAAATAATTTGGTGGCTGTGATTGAGTACATAATTTGGCTTTGAGCTTCCTGGCAGCCAAGACAAAAAAAAAAAAAAAAGAACGCATGATTAGTTGCGTAATTCTTATTTTCAGAAGGAGGAAACATACTAATTTCTCAGAAGACACAAAGCTTTTTCTGCCACCAAATTGCCTAAGACATTGCACGTATGGGGCTTTGTGGATAGAGTCCAAGTCTAACTAAAATAGTAGAAAATGGGTGAAAAATGAGGATACTGGAGAGACTAAGAGCAAAGGATCTGGGGTTGGACCTGGGCTCCGATCCTAGCTGGATAGTGTCCTAGCTCTTGTGACCAAACCACTTTGCAGCACACACCTGCACTTCTTTATATACTTTAGATTTCATGACAGTAGCTTGTTGTGAATTCGTTCTATGGGTCACATGCTCCCATTAGTCCCCACGTAGCTCTATTATCCACATTTTATACTTGAGGAGCCAAAGGTATAAAGAAATGGCTTAGCTTCACATGAAGCAGCCAGGAAAGGCTGGAATGGAGAAGTCTGGCTCCCAGGTCTCAGTGGAGAGTTCAAGAGATATTTGTTTAGCAGTTAATATGAGAACTTAATGACTTCCCCACAGTCTCAGGATTAAGACCAAAAGCCAGGTTTTCCACTAGTAGCCCAGTAATTAGAATTTCGTTTACTGTGACCCTCTTCTGTGCCTGACTATAACCTCCTGACACCTGTAATGTCCTTCGTGGGCCATAAAGACTGATCAACAGATCCAGGAAGCTTACAAAACTTAAGGGCACACTGTTAGATACAAAAGCCTCTTTCTACAATCCATGCTTTTTGTAGTACATTTTGGGAAAAGTGGTATGCTACACACTGTTCTAGCCTCTGGAATTGATGACTCCAAAATTTCTCTAAGGAATAGACTGCATTTAAGAATACCTAATAGACTTTAACCAAAGCCATTAAAGAAAATGGGTACAATTGAATTTCCAATGGTTTCTGGTTTCACTGATTCTCTCAAAAAACATCACATGGAAATTTTATTTACTGTTAAAATATTAATGGATTGTCGATTTTTATTATTATAATGTATGAACTTTAGAAGCTGTCTCACAACTAGAGGTCTTGTTCCTCTTGGGATAAATTATACTAGTTAAATCAAAATAATAGTGATGTTTATTAAGGCACTTCATAACCCCCAAAGTGAGGGTATTTAGAGAGGAGATTTTGAAAGATAATTAAATGAGATCACGAGGGCAGAGCCCTGATTCCAAGGGTTAGTGGCCTTATGCAAAAAGATATCAGAAAGTTTGCTCTTACTCCCTCAGAATTTGACTGTGTAAACCAAAAGAGCACCCTCACCAGAGCCCAATAATGTTGGCACCCTGATTTCAGACTTTGAACCTCTGAAACTGTGAGAAAATAAATTTCTGTCATTTAAACAACAATTCTTGATATTTTGTCAGATCAGTCTTAGCAGACCAAGACACCTCTTGACAACCTCCATGCCTTGGACAGATCATTCTATCCTTGTATTATAGATAAGAAAATTAAGGTGCAAGGACATTTTAATTATTTACTCAAGGCCACACAGTTAGTAAGGGTGGAAGCATCATTGAAATGGAAGTCTCTGTGGATCTATACCCTATGTTAATCCTCATTCTTTTTCTAAACTGTTTGATTTTTTCCCTTCTTTCTTTAAAATATTTTCTTGGCTTTTAAAAAAAAAATTAGTTGTAGATGGACATAATACCTTTATTTATTTATTTATTTTTACGTGGTGCTGATGAGGGTTGAACCCCGTGCCTCACACATGCTAGGGCTACAGACAGAACCAGGGCTTCCAGCTCCAAGAGTTCCATGATATCCTCCTTTAATTAGAAACTGAGCTCAGTTCTGCATTGGCATCTTTGCTACAAGAGATTTGCTGTTAATCTTTGGAACAGAATCTAAGATACGGTATATTTGGACTGGTGACTTGAGTAGCAGCAGCAGGGTTCAAAGCATCTTAAAGACAAGCTCATGTCTCCTACTCAAGCCAAGGAAGCAGGTGCCTGTTCTGATTGTTTTCAGGTTATCCTGTAACTCAGCAAAGGGAGCCCCTGAATGAGAAAGGCCCAAGTTGTATCTGTCATCATTTACCTGCCTCAATCCCTACAGTCTTGACTCAGTGCTTTCTTATACATCCTCAGACAGTATCACCTGTCCTCTCCAGGTACTTGTTTTGTTTGTTTGCTTTTAAATATCTAAATAAGAAAAATTGCCACCACTAGGACTGTTAAGCTGAGGAGGCTCGAAAGTTCCGCTGTCCTCCCAGGTGTAATCAACATCATTAGAATGATTATGTTAAGACTTGCTTTAGAGAAGTAAGTGTATGTATTTGGCTTCATTCACCCTTCTCAAAGAGAAGCCAACCTGTGAGCTCAGGCCTGGGGAACCAGCTCAAGATTCTGGCATGGTGAGGTAAAACAGAATTGCTTCTTCCCAGGATTCAACCAGATCTTCAACAGTCTTTTCTTTGAACTTCAAAGATCCTAGCCAGGTCTTCAGAGGACCTGCCATTCCTGACTTCAGAGAAACCAAATAATTCCTTTCAGGAACTCAACTATTACAGCAGAACTCAACTCTTGTCTTGTCTGAGGTCACATGTCTAGTGGTTGAATGGAGGATTTCACTTTTTATCTAGATGGGCTGACATTGGCAATCTGAACCAGTCATATCCATTAGATGAAGGGAAGGCTAGAAGAGTTCAGAGGACACCGACTGCAGACCTACAAAAGGGGAAGCAGGTTTTCCCAATTTATTAGGCCCATGAATGGAAGACTTCAGCCAAGGGCAGAGCCCTGTGTCTTCCTTTGGTGACACCAGTGTATCAGAATGGAACCACTGTGGTAGATTTTATTAAAGCTACTGCAAACTTGTATATATGTCAAGTCCAAGGAAATCCTGAGGTGGAGGGTTTGGGACAGTGGATGGAATTTTATGGTGAGGTGTTAGTATAAGATCCACTGCTCTTACCAACTTGGAAACATGTTGACAATTAACTAGCTTTCACCTCTTGTTCTTTTTTCCACTAATATTTTCATTTTCTGGGTCTTCCTGTCTCCCCCCTGCCCTTTACTTCCCTCTTTTCCTTTTAGACATCTAATATCTTCTTACGATGCCCTTTTCAAATAAGAGCCTCATGGAGGGCACTGACATAGCCATCCATCTTCACTGAGGAATAGAAGGACTAGCCATATCCTAGAGACATATCCTGCGGGAAGCAAGTTGTCCTGTAAGTAGCTGTCTTCAAAGAGTGTAAGGACATGTCAGAGTCAGCTTCCTACTATGGAATCAGGTCACAGCTAGGCTGTTCCCATGGTGAGAATTCAGCTGTTTAGTAGGAGTTGGGGGCAGAGGTAACATGGATGAGAGTCTTTTCCCCTCCTTTTATTCATGGGACTGTGAATCCATATAGTCTTGACCTCTGTGATCTTTCCATATGATCACACCCCCATTCCTGTGTCAGTGCACTAAAAATAATATCTCTGATTTTGACTATTCTGGAAAACACAATTCTGGATATGATTGGTTTAGATTGCCAATGTCAGCCCATCTAGATAAAAAGTGAAATCCTCCATTCAACCATTAGACACTATTCTGGAAAGCCATAGCACTTCTGTAGATCCCAAGTCCTGGAAACCAGTAAATTGGAAAAAAATATAAGTTTATAAAAATGCTTACATTTTCTAAGCAGAGAAAATAGAATGATTTTCCAATAAATGAAAGAAAAAAAAGTTGTTTTCCAAAAGTCATGAGAGAAAACCCAATCAAATGGCAAAGAGGCAGAAATGTGAAATGGTTTTCCGCAGTTCTGCTGTCTTCATTCCCCCTGCAGATGTCATTAGCATTCTGTAATTTCTTAAGAGGCAGGTTTTTTCCAAGATTATTTATACAAAACAACCTTTAACTCCAACAGTACTATTTATCTTGAACCACCATCTTCCTCTCCCACCTCCATTCCTCCAAAAAAAGGCAGTGGAGGAATCATCCCAAGCAGCAAAAATCAACACAAGGAGACAATGACAAGAGACCAAACGAGCTCAGCAATCATTGTAAGGGGAGTACAGTATAAAGAAATAAGCTCAGGACTGGGATTGTGGCTCAGCAGTAGAGTGCTCGCATAGCATGGGAGGGACCGGATTCGATTCTCAGCACCATATAAAAATAAAGGCATTGTGTTGTGTCCATCTACAAAAAAAGATTCTCTCTCTCTCTCTCTTTAGAAAAGAAAAAGAAAGAAAGAAAGAAAGAAAGAAAGAAAGAAAGAAAGAAAGAAAGAAAGAAAGAAAGAAAGAAAGCTCAATTATTCAAAACGCTTGCTTTCTCCCACCCGCTGTAAGCTGCCACCCCATAAACCACTGACTCCATTCACTCCCACCATCAACTTTCCCTGTCACGTTCCAGACAGACTCCTGTGTCTCCCAGACCAATACTTGTAAGTGGCCAGTGGAGAGCCATGATTACTCACCCTTTCTG